CCTCGGCTAGGTTCCGACAGAGCTCCCGCAATCGATGGGCGGACTCCCCACAAAGTCTTGATGCGGTCCTACAGGTTGCAATCTCGTCTGTCACCTTCCTCTCAGAACAAGACTAGACTTAGAGTAAGAAGGGTAGAAGGAGGGGTTTCAGACTCTCGAGATACAAGAGAGGGATTGACTAAACTCGCAGGAAATGATCTTGTTGCCTTGATGCGTCTGAGGGTCGCGCAATGATGGTCAAAATGCACAACAGTTTGGTCAAACGACGGCAAACTGTGAACTGTTTGACCTCTCTGGCGACCCTCCGGTTCGCAGCGAAGTCCTGTTTGCAACTTGCCCCCCCTCCCCGTGCTTTACCCGAAACGTGGCCAAATTATAGTCAATCCCCACTTCGATACTGTGTGTACGCCGAACGCGTGTGACAACAGTGCCCCGTGCCAAAGCTCAATCCAGCACACAGGTATCGACGCCCCACCCCTGACAATGTTTCCACATAACAAACACAGCAGAGGCGCGCTCAGACACAGCGAGTGCACGACGAGCTCACAACGGGTCGGTGTTGATGAACAGCAAACGACCACGAAGCTCAGCGACGAACATGTCGCTGCCAATCGTACACAAAACACTGCAGAACACAATAGCACAGGATAGTGGAAGCAAACCGCCGGTTGTATGCAGTAGCAACACCGTTCAGTTTTCTGACAACAACATTTCTGATGAGGGTCGCAACAGTTTCCCGTAGCTAAAACACAACGACCAACCTGTGACTGTATTAGTTTCAACCTGACTGGCCTCGTCGGCATCACCAATTCAACAACATTTCCCCTTAGTGACACAAGGAACAACAATAGCCCCTCCTCACTTCAATCAGATCTTTCCTGTTACAGGCGACCATCTGCAACAGTCGGTTGAAACCGAGTCGGACAACAACGACCATCCCACCCAAGCGAAGCTTCACTCCCTTTGCCACAATGCCTTTCACACTACTTCAGTCACACACACTACTTCAACAGTCAAACCTTCACCTTCGCGACTCCCCTCGCATTACTCCCTGATCGGTGAAATGACATGTCAACTGAGTACGTAGGATGCTAACCCCACAGCTCGCCTGTGGCCACTTCGTTCGGTGGTACGAGCAATATGCTAGCCAACGGATGGGCCTCCTCGTCCTTCGGCTGGTTTCACTCTTCTTCCATCAATAGGCCAAGCGAAATCAATGGTTGCTGTTGCGCCCAACTCTCTCTCTCTCTCTCTCTCTGCTGCTCACTTGTATGCAAGTACACCCCCTCTTCAGAAATGTGAAAAACGAGAATGAATCTCTTACTGGAACGAGGGCAAATACACTGCTGAATTTCCTGGTCCATTCACCGCGGGTAATTTGGCCTCGTAATTCGGTCTCGCTCTCTCCGTCTTGCCACTATTGTAAGGTAAGCATCTTCTCTGACCGCCTTCCCTCTTACCTACCTTCTCCAATCCGTATCTAATCGCATTTGTGGTCGAATCCATATAGGTAGTAGAAGGCTATGCAACGAAAATGGCGAACACCAAAATTCCACAATCTAAGTAGCTGTGACCAAGTGACACGTTCGAAGGGGAAATCACCCCGCTCCTTCGCTCACAACGAATCTTCTTTTAAAACGGGGACAGATGCATCGTCTACAAATTTTGTAAACTCGTTACCCCTTCACGCAACTTATATCTCTCATAGCTTCTATCCTACTGACTCTTATCTAAATCTAACTTCAAAATCGGGTTCGACCTACCTAAAAACCCCTAGTTAGAAACTTAGGATCTCTCCTCGTCAACTTTCATCGAGGAAAGGTCGAATTTTCGCGGTAATCCCTCTCTCCATCTCCCTCTCTTACAATATCACCGCGCAATAGCTTCCCTATCTTATTCCAATCCTACCAACTGTTTCACTATTCTGACATGATATGTGGGGTTGCCTCTCCCGAAAGCACCAAAATTCAACCTTTACTCGGTCAATTCCGCCAAGAATCGCACAAATTCTATACTCCCCGCTATATCACGTTCGTCTCTCTCCTCCATCTCCGACCGTTTCTTACTTCGCGTGCATCCGGCGTAGTTCCCTGTTTCGGTTCATTCGGCTTTAGTCGACTTCGAGATCAGTCTGCTCCTTCTGTTTCTGTGCCTCCCTCCTTGCTTAGAGTTAGCGCCCGCTCTATCCTCTTCCTTGCTGTTTGACACCTCTCGCTTTATCATCACCAATCCACCTCCGTTATCGCTGCACCCCCGTCTGCGCTAGGCTGTGCGCTAACTTCAAACGCCACGAACGACGTTGACTTATACTTGGCAATAGGACGGTGGTAATGAGAGTCGAGTTCCACTGGCTCGGCTAGCTACGAACGATGAGCGCCGAAATAGGCGACCCTCTTTGCTCCGTCGCCGGGTCTATTCCTGACGACCCGTTGAAAACAAAGGTGCGGTCCCACTACGGTGCTTTGCAATGTACGCCCAGGTAGAGCGGGTCTCAACACGGATCTCGGTGGTGGTAGCAAGAAGTTCAATTGAAGTTTTCCGTGAGCGGCCGCTACGGCTTGTGGCCCTCGTCCTGGCCTGGTAGAGAGATCTGGGAATGCTTTGGGGTGGGCATTTTCAAGGGACAACTAAGAGTTACTGCTGGGACGACGCTGGTCGGAGCTCGGTTGAGTCGTGTTGCCCTGTAACCTGAGCGGGTGGGGGTGTGAGACCTAGAAGAGCTCGGCAAAGAGTAAGACATTGTTGGAGATTTTTAGAAGGATTTGCTAGGGATTCTGAGGGTTTTGAGCATTTATAGGACCTTTGTGATGACGATTTTTGCTTCTAAAACTCCTCTTCAGCAAATAGGCTGGTAATTGTTCAGGATCTTATTCTTCATAGAAAGTCGGCTTGAAGTCTCGGTATTTCAAAAAAAAAAATTTATGTATGTGCTCTCATAAAAAAAAAAAGAATGCTTTAGGATTTGGGGGACTTCAAGCAACTTGCTTTAGGTTGTTTGATACTGGTGCATTCATAGATCTGCGGTTGTTCGATGCCAGAACGACGCTGGCCGATGTTGGGTTGTTGCCCTATAAACTGCTGACTGCAGGAGCATGAGGCCTGGTAGAGAGATTTGGGGATGCTTTGGGGTGGGCATTCCAAGGGACAACTAAGGGTTGTTGTTGGGACGACGCTGGCCGGAGCTGGGGCGAATCGTGTTGCTGTGTAACCTAGCCGAGTGGGAGTGTGAGGCCTGGGAGAGTCCGACAGGGAATAAGACAATGTTGGATAGTTTTAGAGAGTTTTGTTTGGGAATCTAGGGGTTTTGAGCATTTGAAAAGAGGTCAGTAGTCATTTATAGTTTTTCAACCTCTTTTTAATTCTCTTGAATTTCTTCAATAGTTCACAATAGTTCTCGGATTGATTCTTAGTCGGAGTTGGGTAATGACTCCTTTATCTCAATGACTTGTGCAATTCTATATGGGATGTTGGGTCCGGTTCCCAGCACGTGCTGCTCCCCACGAATAGATTGGAGCATTTGTCCCCCCCCCCGAAAAAAAACGCTTGTCTCATTCTGCTTTGGGGTGGCACATCATCATTCGGGTTTCAGGGGTCATGCTCAAACTTCAATCTTTCACGACAAATTGCGCGAAACAAGTGGGGCACCCGCAAATGATCCCCTCCACCTTTAGGCTAACGACGCTCTCCAAATGGGAAGTGAGGGAAGCCACGACCACGGACCCTACACGCGTTGACCTCCCCAGTCTAAACTTCAAGACGGGCAGGATAGAGGAACTTTGACAATCGTCCCGAACATGTGGGGACCCAGACCGGCCCGCAAAAAGAGGCGCGTGCTCAAGGTCCTCGGCTGCCGTGACGGTCCTTAAATCTAAAGTTACGTCTGAGTCAAAGAACACTAGAGCATAAAAAGATAATAATAATACGACAATAAATAATAAGAATCTAGAAGTTCTTAATCATATGACGAACAAGGAAAAAGAAAACCGCTAGTATCGCTTCGGCGCCGCCGACGGCAAAACCAAGTGAGATAGCCCCGACGGGCCCTCAACCCCTTGGTCCCTGCTCACTACTCTGATACCCCGCGTCGTTGTCGCTCGATCTCGATCCCTGAATCTCCTTGATGAAAGTCCGACGCTGTAACCAATGGTGTTAGGCCCAAGGCTGGGTCTAGTTTCAACGGACGCCTAAATAAGTGGATACTGCGCGACGCGTAGATCTACCGAAACGTTTTCCAAAATTACATTGTTATCGATGTCGTCCTCCGTACGTACGCACAAGTCACAGGCAAGCGCACCAATCACAAGACAAAATCTTTGAAATCATAGTTTCATCAGAAACAAAATCTGGCCGGCGACCAATGTCGGTTTTCACAATCATCGAAAAGAAAAGAGATCACACGCGCCTTCAATCTGCGCACCCACGCTGCGCACCCACACACTCTCTACTCTAGTCAATCATTCAATCAACGTAAATCACAGACACCGCCACGCCTCGTGCAGTATACTTAAACTTTAAACCAGACCTACTTTCTTGTTGCTTGCAAAAACCAGGGCAGATGCCCTTGTAAGGGTATTCGCACCAACAACGACTTTGTACACTTGTGACAGCCAATCGCTCTATCAGACAATATCAACTGCGAGTAATGCACTTTCTGCGAACTTATTCACATGCATTGTGCCAACACTCAGGTGATGCACTTTTCGACTTGACTGACTTCAATCTGTGAACTTGTTCACTTGCACAGGAATATTGTGAGCTATCTGCACAAAAGTTCCTTTTGTTTAAAGCTCTCATTCTACCACCATCAGTAAAGTTTGTGGGTACAGCAAACATGACCCAAAGATGCTAAAAAAATAGTCTAGATAGACCTTTCAACACAGATCATCGGACTCGTAACAGGTGGCTTCTCTACCATGCAACATCCAACACCCACATACAAACACACACAGGGGAAGGAATGATGGTCACTGCACACTAGCCATTAAACAACATGATATCTGGCTATCAAGGCACAGCTGAACGGGAGATGCCTGGATTACAAGATACCCCATTCAGGGACCATTGCTGTCTGGCATAAAGATGGGAACGATGGAAATATGAATGTGCCAGGAAGGTGCTAGACAAGTCTTTGAACAATAATCTTCACATGATCCCAAGGACCCCTTAAACAGCATGATATCTGGCTATCAAGAGCACAGCTGAACGGGAGATGCCTGGATAACAGGATACCCCATTCAGGGACCATTGCTGTCTGGCATAAAGATGGGAACGACGGAAGTATTAATGTGCCAGGAAGGTGCTAGACAGGACGGCAAGCACACACCCGTCCATCTGTTGTCCACCATTGTCAGTCACAGCATTCTTCTCGGCATAATGTTAAGATATGCTTGCCTCCAAACAGCCCCGAAAGGTCTAACCAGAACAGCGCATTGGATACTAGGTAGGGGAATTCCACAATACAAGCTTTTGCCACTGCGGGAAGGGGATACATTAGTTCATGACAACTCTTTCATGCAGTCTGATTCATGATTCTCCCAGGAACACCCGAGGACCAGAGAAAGTTAGCACACTACCACAACCCTGGGAAACAACATGCATAAACCATGATTTCAACTTATTTGCATGGACAAACATATTATTCAGAAGATGACTTGCACACATAGACATATCCAGAAGATGAATTGCACACAAATGTATTGGAAAGACCAATACTGAAACTTTTCAACAAACTGTTCGCAGAACAATTGACCAACCTCAGCCAACCAGTATCCTAATAAATCCTCATATTGTATGAAGCACTCCGTCCTCAATCAATACAAAGATCCCACAGCAGTACTGTGTGGGGGAAAAGGAAGAGAGCAAAGCTAATGAACATTAACAAGAAAGAACAAGGAAACACATGTAAGACAAGAATAGAAAGGGATTGCACCCCTGCTGAAAGGCATAAATCTTTATACGCAGTGCTTCTGACACTCCGCACGTCAACCACCACCCCCAAAAGTCTCAAGAGCCTGGTTGACCATTCTGCCTGACAACCAATGACGATGGGTTTGGAAAGAAAGAATCCAGGGAGGGCGGGCAAAGGAGATAGGGGAGAGATGCAGCAGAAGGATTAGAGCCCTCTGACATGGTGGAGGAGGATAAGAAGCAGAAGATAGGTCTCGTAAAATGCAAACGGAACGTGGATGGCCATGCCTACATGGACGAAACAAGGTGGAACCTGAGGCAAGGCAGGGCTTGCTTCATGAACAAACAATCAATCAATTGGGTACTCGACATCAAATCCTAAGGAGATCAAGATAACCACTTCATAGGATAAATATAGAGACAACGTCACCAACTTAACTTCTGCACATATGCTAATGATAGCAACGGGGACACTTGTATGCCAAAACAACAAGTAGATACCGTTATAGCCAGTGTGCCTCTGGGACATGAGGAGTTGGCAGCCAGAGAAGACAACAAGCAGACAATAGGGGCTTCCATCCATATCCACACACATCCCCCACCCTGCACCCGACGGAGAACTGCGATGATGCATTGTTATATGGAACTGCAACAGCATCCCACCATCAACACCCTCTGCTGATTTTACGCTCTGTGTTTGTGTGCCTGTCCAGGAGAGGGAGATACATGGACGCCGCTGGCTTGCTGAGGAGATGCCCTTTCTTCTCAGAAGGTCGCACACAGAAAGATGGACACTGCTGACGTGCTGAGGACCAATGACTGACGATTTCCTTCCTTGCTCAAAGGTATCTCAGGTTTTTACCCAGCTGCACTGATTCCTGAACCTCCTGTGAACATCGTTCCTGCTCTAGTTGAGGGAATGTGGAGGATCCTGATTCCTCGTGCAAACTCCATTCATACTACTCTTTTTGAAGGAACTGATTCATGATCCCTCCTGTGAAGATCATCCCTATGCCTTTTCTGGTTGAAGGAACCTGAAGGAAGGCATGCCTTTCAACAGGGGAGGCGGATGAACTTCAGACAAATCAACCTCCGGCATGGACTTTGAGATATCATCAACCGAGAAAGGTATGCTGTGGCACACAAACACAATAAGTGCACGCACACAAACAACACAGCATGTATCAGAACACACAACATCAGTTCAAGACGTTGCATTCCAGTGTCCTATGACAGAGGCCCAGTCGTCTCTCAACACACTGTTCAGACTCGTCCAGACTCTAGCAGCAACAAGCTATGCATAAGAGGTAGGGACTTCTCCATTGCCTGTAACATCGCAGTGTGCTATTGTGCACAGGTGTATGTAGTTCTATTGCTAGACCACAACATCAATGAGCTTGAACGACGAAATAAAACGGAATGCTACTTCAGGATCTACAAGCTCGCTCCACATATTGTGTAGAATCGCCGGTTGACACAGATGCATAATATTGGACGACCACTGGACTCCGTGCAAACGCCTGGTTTACCCAGTTGTATGCATAACAGGCTGCAGTGAAAGTCAACCATGACCTGCAGTTAAAAAACCCTCCATGGTCACAGAACTGACCGTTGCCCACCAAATTGAGAGTTATTCCGACTCCTTGAAAGGGTTTCACACATTTCTTTACGAAGTCCCAGTCCTGGTCCCAGAATTCCCAAAGTCCTGAAGTCCCATGTGGCATAGCCCAACCAGTCGGCCCCTACAACAGTTGCAGCCGTAGAATCCATAGGCCATATAGTACCTACCAGAAAAGCCGAGCAACCTCGTCATGAAGGCAAGCGACTGGTACCAGTCCGAAAAGGTCAAGATTGTGAGCTGCGGTCGAGTACAAAATGACAGCTACAGTGAAATGACACACACTTTTCCATTCGAGCCTGCCGTGGAAGGGCTGCTGCTTGCTCGTGCGGCCGATGCCGAGTGTGACTTGGTTTGGTGTTGATGTAGGGTAGTCAAAGTTGCTGGGCACCATAGCCAGGACTTGGTGAGTGAGTGAGTGAGTGTGTGTGTGTGTGTGTGTGTGTGTGTGTGTGTGTTTGTTTTGAATTTTCACCACAACAGCCCCAATTCCACCCAGATGAGCAAGTCCAAAATCAAAGCATATTCAATCATATTACAGACAACGAAAACCCTTGAGTTGGGACAATCCAACAATGAAACAGTTTCACCTCTATAGCAAGCAACATGAAGTACAATAGAGGCATGTAAACCCCTTTCTTAATTGTGTTCACGTTTGCTTTCTTCGGGGTACCCATTTCATTTGTTATTGCAGCTCTCCCTTTACCGTGCCTCTCATGTACAAGGCTCGCCATGTTGAGTGTGTTGAGCGCGAGCTGCCCACATCCATGTGTGCCATAACGGCCCACTTGCACACTATGAAAGGAGGCAGAGCAGAGGCGGAGGTATATTCCTGTTCATTTCTTCTCAGACCGTCAACTTAAATTTTGTCTGTTCTCTTAATGATGCTCATTCATACTAGATGACACGTTGCGGCTTCGCCCGCAAAAACAGAAAAAGAAAAGGGCACAAAAGAAAGAAAGCGCATAAGGAACTGCCCGATCATATGCCGTTTCTTTCACAATAACAAAAAGAAGAGCCTGAGAGCAGACGAAAACCCGCGTGCAAGAAAATAGTGGGGAATACCACTGAACATTCTTTTTTCCTTATCTTTGCGTGTTTTGTTTGGGGAGCCGTTACCTTTGCAGCATCGTTTTTGTTTTGTGCTGTGCAAGAACTCTGGACTTTTCTGAGAAAATCCAGTCCGTTGTCCCGTTGATGTTTTTGGTGAAGATTCAGAATCAGACTTTGTTTGCTGTGTTCTCTGGATATGTTTGTGATCAAGCTATCTTGCATGTATGCCCCATGCTTGCTTGTTGAGTTTGGGAGCTGTGTTACCAGAATCAGACTTCGTTTGCTGTGTTCTCTGGATATGTTTGTGATCAAGCTATCTTGCATGTATGCCCCATGCTTGCTTGTTGAGTTTGGGAGTTGTGTGTGCAAGTGCAAGCGCGTGTGGGTGAGTCTCAGTTTGGTGGGCTCGGATGATGTCATTGACGATTGGCCCAGGGAAGTTGTTGGAAGGCGCCTCCAACTATAGGAGTGCCACTGATGTTAAGCAAGTTTTGCATTGTATGAATGAAACAATTGCTTGGCAGTTGCTCTTCGGGTGGGGGACTTGTGGGGAGTAGCATTGACATGAGAGCCATAATGCCGGGCGTGCATCTTGGAACATTTCCTGGAAGGCAAAAGGCAAAGAAGAAACGAAGTAGCACGTGTCACAGTCACATAATGGACAGCTTGGCACAGTCCCCCT